AAGTCCCAAGGTTGGCAGAGCATGGCAGGCTGCTGAACAACGACATGGCTACATGCAGGGTCCAAGCATGCCATAAGTTAGAGACCATTCTCAAAGTTGTTTCTTACATACAGGAAGCAGACCACACACTCAAAGGCAGCTACTCAGCTATTCCAATAGATTCCACCATGGAGTTTATTACCAATCTCACCATGGGGAATAACCACATTAAGCTGCCCAGCCACTCAACCAGGACAACTAAGTTGACACACAAACTTAACCATCACATGGAAGGTCAAGGAAAAGTTTATATATGGAGGTAAACATTCTTTGTTGGTTGCCAGGAGTAGGAGGGGAGGGGAGGGAATGCTGCAAAAAAAAAAAAAAAAAAAAAAATGACCCATGTCACTTTAGTTTTGTGTATTTCATTGTACATAAATTATATTTCAATTAAATGCATTAAAAAATATGGAGCCTCTCAAATTCAGCCCTTACAAGGATGCTGGGACATTAATTACTTCTCCTTGCTTTTGTATATAGCACAGGTATATTTATGTATATGCATACATGCATGGAGTGAGTGGTGGTTCAGTGGTAGAATTCCTATCTTTCATGCAGGAGACCTGGGTTCAACTCCCAGCCAATGCCCTTCATACAGAGGCACCACTTGTCTTCCATTGGAGGCTTTTGTGTTGCTCTGATGCTGAACAGGTTTCAGTGGACCTTCCAGACTAAGGCAGACTAGGAAGAAAGGTCTGGTGATCCATTTCTGAAAATCAGCCAGTGAAAACCCCATGAACCATAATGGTACAATCTGCAACTGATTATGGAGATGATGCAGGACCAGGCAGTATTTTGTTCCATGTTCATGGGGTCGCCATGAATCAGAGGCAACTCCACAGTAGCTAACAACAACAACATGCATGTGTATGCATGTGTGTGTAAATACCTCAAGCTTACAGGATGATCTATAAATTGCTTAAAACATTACTTGGGGAATGATGACATCACAAAGTTATGTTTCACTTTCCTGTAATCCTGCAGAGCAAAAAACCAAACCAAGCTCACTGTCATGGAGTCAGATCTGACTCATAGCAAACCCCCCCCCCTTAGGTTTCTGAGGTGGTATCACTACAGAAGTAGATTGTCCAACCTTCCTTCTGAGGAGTGGCTAGTGAGTTTGAACCGCCAGACTTCTGGTTAGCAGTCAAATGCCTTAGGCACTACAACTGGAAAAAGACATGGGTACAAACCCATGACAACAGCTGCCTAAACCTGAAACTGCAGGGAGAGTGTTCCAGTCCCACAACCACACCCTGCTGAGGCCAGCCCAGGAAGGTTGTTAGAGGGTGAGAGAAGGTTGTTAGAGGGTGAGAAGACGGTAGGAGATGTGAAGTGAGGAGTTCAAGTCCTGCTGCTGGGAGTTGTGTGGTCACGGATGCAGTTGGGGCGTCTCTGACAAGGCACAGGTGCTGGGCAGAGACACAGCAAGGAGCAATTCCAATGCAGCTGAAGACTTAGAAGCCACTTGGTCTGCTTTGCCATGAGGCTAACAGCAGATTGGGACGTACCAACCCTGACCCTTTCTCTCCCTCTGACTCTACCACCAAGACCTTTGACATCACTTCTGCAACAGTCAGTGAATAGACCCCTTACACAAGGCCAGCATGAGCCTGGCAACTTGCAGGCTGGATTCCCCGCCCTCACATAGCATTTTCCTGCTTGGGCCATATCCCAGGATCCCACTTTGGAGCAGCAGGCCCCTGGAAAGCCAACATTTCTCAGCCTCATCTAAGGAACAGATATTTGTCTCAGCTGCATGTGAAAAATGCAGGTACCCAGCTCCATAGCAGATATCTAAATCCTAATCAGAGGTTCTAGAAATCTTCAATTTTAACAAACATGTGAGCTTAAGTCCTGCATTGAAGCCTGCTCTGCCAGTTTTCTAGAGAACTGACATTCCTTTAACAACCAAGATGGAGTACCAAGTGAGTTGAGGCTCTCCTCTCGTCCCTCTGGCCTCAGGGAGCAGTGCTAGGCTCCCCTGAAGTTCCCCGAGCAAGACAACTCTGGACTGTTAATACCTGCTGGTGAAGTCCTCAGCCTTGGGTGAGACCTCCAGGAATCTCCCATAGATAAGAATAGAAAGTAAGGGAAAGAAACCTTCACACATAGAAACATTAAACCAATTGGAGGTTTTATTTACATAATAGGGCAAGAAAAAGAAACACAAAAGCCTCACAGTACAATGCACAAATTCCATTCTCAGTCGGGGGTGGGCCTTGATATTTAAAAAAAGAGAGAGAGAGAAAAAAAATGTGATATGCCCTATGATGTCTGGAGTTCAAAATCGTGAGCTCAGTGAACTGAGGAGAGAAAAGCATTTATGTCCTTTCATTGGGGAAGGATTCCTGAGTTGAGTGACAGTCTGGAGAAGTTAACCTTCTGTACACATGAACTTGACTCCCAGGACACTTCTGAGGAGGTTGCGATGTTTGAAATTTTTGGATTAATACTTAACCAGACTTTAAGAATTTCAAGACCAAATGTGCTTAGCCTTGGGAAAAAAAAAAAAAAAAACTCACTGCAGTCAAGTCGTATCCTACTCATAGTGACCCCTCCTTGGGTTTCCACAGCGGTATCACTGCAGAAGTAGATTGCCCAACCTTCCTTCCGAGGAGTGGCTGGTGGGTTTGAACCACCAGACTTCTGGTTAGCAGTCAAATGCCTTAAGGCACTATGCCACAGTTACTCCAATTTGGTGTATGTGTGTTGGTGGAGGCAGCCTTTGTTGAATAGAATCCCAGGCCAGGAAGACCCACAGGGCTTTCATCCCTTCTTTGGGTCACACTTCTTTTTCCCCAAGAAGACTTGGGCTTCTTTGGTGCTTGTTAGCATGACTGGTTTAGAGTTGGAAAAGCATCTTCCAAACACAGCAAAGCCAAGCCCCTGGGTGGTGCAAATGGCTCAAGGGCACAGGTGCTAACTAAAAGGCTGGAGGTTTGAGTCCACCTAAGAAGAAAGGCTTCTGAATCTGCTTCTGAAAACCAGCCATTGAAAACTCTGTGGAGCACTGTTCTACCCTGATACACATGGTGTTGCCATTAATTGGAGTGGACACGAGGATAACTGATTCATTAACTTGTTCACTTCCTGTGACCTGCAGGCCTCTGAGGCTCTGACTCTCCTCACCAACTATGCTTTGCTTTTTCTACACTTACATCTCTTCTTTTCTCCACCTCCTGGTGTTGCTAGGCAAACTATAATTATCTTACAGGTGTGAAAAATGTGCCATTATCAACTTTCATCATTTGGGCTAAAACAAGATCGTTCATTTTCTCTTCTCCTCCCAAACATTATTTCTACAGGAATTGGGTCCAAGTTCATCTTCAACATGAGCCTCCAGAAAGTAAAGTTGAGTCTAGCTTCATAACAAAAAATTTCTCTCTCGTTCCTTTTTCTGTCTGTCTGTCATCTCACCTTCTCCAGTTCCCAAGATATTTGATCTGTACATGGGACTTGAGGGCCCCCTTGCAAGCCCTGGAAAACTTACTGGGACAAACAGGTAGGTGTTACCACCAAACCTGCAGGATTGGTCAACAACGACTTTGGATTTTTGGATACTCTGGAAACAAAGTCACAGCAGTTGACCTATCCTAGCAGTCCACAGGTCATCCTTCATGAGTGTCACACCCAGGATCCATGCCCATCCTAACTTGGACTCTAGGTAAGAGGTCAATCTGGGCAGTGTAGAAGACGAAAGGAGGCTATAAAGGCAGCTACTGGGAGCCCATGGGCCTCAGAGAAATTCTGAGCACTAGCCATCACACCTCTGGCCACCTAGCCACCCCTGGGCCCTGTTTAGAGTTGAAGGCCCAACCACCTAAGATTAGCCAAGGCTGATAATCCAGACTCAGCTCCTGTACTTCCACTTCTCTTTCCAACATCCTTCTTAGCTTGCATCTACTTCCTTATCACCTGACTACTACTTCCTGGTTCCTTCTCTAATTTACACATTTTCATTTGAGGGCATTTTGTCTTCCTCTCTCTATTTTATCCCCTCTATCCCAAGACAAACCATTCCAAATTGGCTTGGCCTACAGGAGGCACTGAGCAGCCATCAAGAGTGGGCTGATGTTGCTACTCAGGCGGAATCAGGAGGCCATGTCCTTAGCTGGTGCCAGACCAGGCCCTGAAGTTGGTACAGGGGAGTCTATCCAGCCTCAAACATGTGAGCTGGGCTGGGCTTGGCACAATAGCCCTCAGGAGCAGGACCCCAAACTATGAGAACCAGCCAACCAGAGGGCATCTGAACCTGCTGTCACTCCTGCCCTCATTGGCAGATGCACTTCATGTTAGAGATGGGTGAAAATGACAAGCTTTCATCTACGTGAAACAGTCATGGCACACCTGTCACCAGTTTTCAAAGTACCATAGCCTTTACTGAGATGTTCTTCTTCCTTCCTTCTTAAGCCTGTCACTAAACTCCTGATGGCAAAGGGATGAAGTGATGGAGGAGATGAGGAAGAATACTTTAGAAACAAGTAGGTCCTTTCCTGCCCTCAGACCACAGCAGCCAAGGACTCTGTGTGCCCTGTCAACCTGCAACCTATCCAGAATAGATAAAATCACCTACATCCACGTCAAAAGCCTCTTTTCCCCTCATGACAACCATTCTACATACCCACCCACAACATTTTTTTTATTAAATGTTTTCCTCCACCTGACTCCTTCCATCTTCACAGGTTTTAGCAAAGTAATGCCAATCTCAATCCTAACTGTAGCCTACTTCTCTGTAAATTGGCCATCTAATCCACCTGGACTGAAGAGCCATGAAAAGTTCAGCAGATGGGGCAGGGATGATTTAGTCCTAGCATTCATCCAATGAAACTAAGAAAGACATTTTTTTTTCCTTGCAAGTATTTTGTGGGTTCAAATCTAAAATGTTCTTGGATTCTCCTGGTTCTCAGAGCAGAGGAGGCTTCTGTTCATTCTTGTGGCATCTGCCCCAACAGCTCCCACTAGCGGACAAAGGACACCACACTGGTGGCTACTGCGAATGGGGCGGAGTAGGCCGCAGCGAATCCCTGTAGACCAATGACAACATAGTGGCATCCTTTGGTGATGACCTTCCCGACATTCTATTTTTAGGAAGAGAAGAGAAAAACAAAGGTTAGGATACACAACTTTATAATTCCTCATGTGTGATGACCACATACATAAAGAGTTATTATGTCTCATTCTCCAAGGTAGAATTAGCAAGTTACCATGTTTCCTATGGCTACTCTCAACATAAAAATATGCAGATAGGGGATGAGATTGGGGGGGGAGTGTCTCAGAACACACACCATCACCTTGCACAGTGCTGTTAAGCACAACATATTTTCAGATCCTTCAGAGAACCAGTAGTGAGGCTGTTGTTGTTGTCATGTGCTGTCGAGTCGGACTTGACTCATAGTGACCCCTCCTTGGGTTTCTGAGGCAGTATCACTACGGAAGTAGATTGCCCCATCTTCCTTCCAAGGAGTGGCTGGTGAGCTTGAACCACCAGCCTTCTGGTTAGCAGTCAAGTGCCTTAGCTGCTATGCTACCAGAGCTCCCAGTAGTGAGGCTACTAGTTCTAAAACCAAAGCCATTTTTCTTTTTATAAAAGCATACTCCTTTTCTTAGGAGCTCTGGTAGCATAGTGCCTAAGGCACTTGACTGTTAACCAGAAGGCTGGTTGTTCAAACCCATCAGCCACTCCTCAGAAGGAAGGTTGGGCAATCTACTTCCGTAGTGATACTGCCTCGGCAACCCAAGGAGGGGTCGCTATGAGTCAGGGCTGACTGGATGGCACATAATAACAACACTCTTTTTCTCTGCTCCTGCTAAAGGTTATTGGACCACCTAGAGGCTGAGTCAAGGTTTTCTTCATTCACTTCTCTGAAAGTCCAGCCTGCCACCTAACTAATCTACACTCTTGTCCCTTTTTAGTCTTCTGCCTTTCTCTAATTGCTGTATCCTTAGAAGTCTCGTGTTTCCAATACAATTATAAGCTTCTTAAATGTAAGGACATGCTTTCTTGGTCTCCATCTCTCCTTTTACCACCAGACTTGATGCTGGACAGGGCACAGGGGATCAAATGGAATTGCAATAGGAAAATGAAGATCACTCCTAGTGACTAACATGTATTGTCTCCCAGTCTTGCTCTCCCCACACCCAAATAATGTCATTATTCTTGATGATATCATGCACATATAAATGACCTAGGCCTTACCTAACATACTTTATCTCAGTTCTTTGATCTTTCCAACTCCAATAACCAGGTAGACTAATTTCTTTCAAAATTCCAAACACAATCACAAACTTACTTTGCCTTCCAACAATGCCTGGAAAACCCACTCTCTCTCTCCAATAGGCTGACTTTCCCTCTCTCCCAGTTGATTTTTTCATACTTTTCCCTTTCCCCATAAGCCTGTCCATGCCCAGCACATACAGTCACACTCACAGCATCCATATTTTCATTTTTCACAGAAAAACTCAGAGGTCCTTACGGAACTCATTCATCTTCCCATTATGAAGTCTACACACCTGCCTGCACCTGCCCTGACTTCTCCCACCTTGACTTGTATTCCAGTAGAGAAAATGGTCTTCTCTCCTAATGTCATTCCAAAATGATCTAAAGTATCTTCAGACTTGCTGTTGACACCCTCTCAAATCTTGACTTTGACCTACTCCTCTCCACAGACATCATTCTCTTTCTCTCCACTGGGTCATTCCCATTAGTTTACACATATGCTCAGGTATCCCCTTGACTCATATCCTTCTCTAGTGACTACCCAGGTCTCTGCTCCCCTTCATCCTGAATCAACTGAAAGCCATCTTCACATACTGTCTCCAATTCCTTACTTCTTGTTCCCTCTTATTTGGCTCCTGCCCCCACCAATCTAGGGATAGCTTTGCCACAGAATCTATAGGTTCCATATTGCCTGGATTAGTGGGTCCTTTTCTGTCTTCTCCCTCCCTGACCTCTCTGCAGCATTTTACACTGTGCAAAGGAGTCAGTTAGCCTCTTTGATAACATATTCGTTTGGTCCTACCTCACAGGCAGCTCCTCTTTAGCTTTATTTGCTAGATTTCTCCTTCAATCAAACTTAGAAATATTGGCATTCTTTCAGACTCAGTTCTGGGCCCTCTTCTCTTCTTTTGCCTATAATCTCTCCTTAGATGGTCTCATCCATTTTCCAATGACTTGAATTATTTCCTGTATGCCAATAACTTCCACATTTATATCTTCAGCTCAGACTCAAATATTCAACTCTCTACTTGAGGTCTCCACTTTTTGAGATACCTCTGGCATACTGTATCTCCTTACTGTATCAAGTAAATAAACCTAACTTTGGCTGCCAGTGTATTCCTTGTGTCTTTTGGCTGACAGGCGTCAACAAGAAGAAAGCACAGAGAGGTTACACCCAAGGTTGTATAGCTGGTCAGAGGCAGAGTTGAAGTCCAGTTCCAGCATCTCAGAAACCATATCCTTAACAACTATATTATACTTCCTTTCTTTAATCAAGGCACTATGCAACCTTGTAGTTGTAATTTTATAGTTACTTGCCCATGTCATGGACTCAAATTTTGCCTCCATCACTTACTTCACTTTCCTTGACCTCAGTTTCCTCACCTATAAAATGAGAATATTTAGTAATCATCTCATTGAGTAATTAAGAGGATTAAATGATTTTATGCAAAGAAAGCACTTAGAATACTACCTGGTATGAAGTGCAGGTAATATAAGTGCCAGAAACTGTCAGCTATTACTAATTTGGTTTGTCTCCTTATTACATAGTAATTTAGGTTTATTGAGGTAATATATGCATCTAAGATATTTTGTTATCAGTTCATAAAAAGTTTCTTGGGAGCATAATTTCTTATGATTTGTGGTTTACTTAAGCTTTCTACAGTTTAAATTAGAATCCCCCACAAACACAGAATGAGAGAGGAGAGTTTGTTTTGCTCATTGCTATATCCTCATTGGAGTCTTTTGGTGGAACAAGTAGTTCAGCACTTGACTGCTAATCAAAAGGTTGGAGGTTCAAATCCACTCAGAAGCACCTCAGAAGGAAACCCTGGCAGTCTACTTCTAAAAAATTAGCGATTGAAAATGCTCTGGAGCACAGTTCCACTTTGATACACATGGAACACCATGAGTTGCAATCACCATGAAAGCAATTGGTTCAACTAGTATCCCGAACTAAAACCAAACCAAACTCACTGCCATTGAGTCAATTCTGACTCATAGCAACCCCCTTTGGATTTCTGAGGCAGTAAATCTTTACAGAAGTAGATTGCCCAGTGTTCCTTCCATGGAGCAGGGTGGGTTTGAATCGCCAACCTTCTGGTTAGCAGTCAAATGCCTTAGGCACTATGTCACCAGAGCTCCTTAACTGGTATCCTAGACACCTAGAAAAAGCTTGGAGTTCCTTTGGAACCTCTCAGGTTAAATGAAGAGCTCTGGGAGAACCAGGTAATATCCATGTCTTCTCTAGGACTGCTTCTCCAGACATTGCCCCAGTCGCATCTGGATGAAATATCAGAGAATGTGCATGCACGTGTTGTGTGTGTGTCTGTGTCTGTGTGTGTGTGTGTGTGTGACAGAGAAAGAGAAAGAGGGATATATGTATACACATGTGTATGATGTTGCTACGAAATATAAATGTTGATAAGAGATGCATTTCTATAAATTTGTGATAGGAATCATTGGGAGAATTTTACTTACATTTTTGAAACAACAACAAAAAATATTGTTTTCTGGAAGCAAGAGAGATCATTTATAAACAATGCCACCACAATCACGGATTCTGTGCACATTAAACTTGACTTTTTTAGTACTTATATACTCATTATCCTCAACTTGTTATTATTAAAAAAAAAAAAAAAAAAAACCTGCTTGCCATTTTATCTTTGCACTTTAGAAAGAAAAAAAAAATCTACTAAAATAGCTCATTAACTAGAACAATGTCAAAATACAGATTTGAGAAAAATGATGCAAAGGAATATAAAATACCTATCAAGGACCATTTTAGTGTTATTCAAGGGAGATTTTGGATTCTTTGATCTGAGCAGGGCTTTCTACCCATATAATCTCTCAGAAGGGTGGTGGGGCATAAAGAATATGGAGGAGTCTGGTAGGCTGAATACTGGGTCCCCAGGATGTCCACATCCTAGTCCCCAGAACCTATGAATATGTTACCTTACTAGGAAAAAAGGGCTTTTGCAGATGTGATTATTTAAGGCTCTTGAGAGGTTAATGGTATCCTGGATTACCCAGGTGGGTCCAATCTAATCAAAAACATCTTTACAAGAGGGATGTAGTGGGAGTTAGCAGTGCAAATGGTTAAAGCACTCAACTACTAGCCCATAGGTTGGTGGGTCAAACCCATCCAGAGATGCCTCAGAAGACAGGCCTGGTGATCTGCTTCCAAGAGGTCACAACCTTGAAAACCCTACAGAGCATTTCTACTCTGACACACACGTGGTCACATGAGTCAGAATCAACTCAATGGCAACTAATGACAATAACAACAACAAGGAGGAGTCAGAGTCAGATGAGAGGAGATATAACAAAGGGACAGAGAGAAAGAGATTTGAAGACACTATGCTGTTGGCTTTAAAGATGGAGGATGGGGGACATGAGCCAGAAATGTAGGTCACCTCTGGGAACAGGGAAGGGCAAGAAATTGCTTCTTCCCTGGAGTCTCCAGAAAGGACCAGCCTTCCCGACTTTGAGTTTAACCTAATGAAGTGGATTTTAGACTTCTGGCTTCCAGAAATCTAAGAGAATAAATCTATGTTGTTTTAAGCCTCTACATTTTTGGTACTTTGTTACAGAAGCTATACCAAATAAGCACAAGGAATGAGGTTGCTAAGGTTCCTCAGTATTGAACAATTCCCTAATGATTCTTGCCCATCTCCAGCTTCAATAAAGAAACCAACTCTAAACAAAGATTTCAACAGTCTTTTGAATAAATTATAAAGTCTAGAGGTATGATATTTTGTCAGGACTTAGGCACAAAACAGGACCGGGCAGTGTTTCATTATGCTGTACATAGGGTCACTATGAGTGGAACTGATTCAGTGGCACTTAACAACAACAAACAAA